TAAATCCTCAAACTTCAAACAATCCTTGATAAGATCCTAAGGTAAGTTCATTAATATTAACAATCTCCAACCAAAATAAATATAAGAACTAATCACACAATTTCCAATCAATGATTTTAATGGGTTTAGCTTCTAACCACATATTTTTATTCCTAAAAGGATTGTGTTTATCGAATATGCATAAACAACATTTCTTGGAGAACATATATAATGCTATCCATCAGAATTATAAGAACAAGTGAGAGAAAGTGAAAATGAAAACTGAGAGAGAGAGAGAGAGAGAGAGAGAGAGAGAGAGAGAGAGAGAGCGAGAGAGAGAGAGAGAGAGAGAGAGAGAGAGAGAGAGAGAGAGAGAGAGAGAGAGAGAGAGAGAGAGAGAGAGAGAGGAGAGAGAGAGAGAGAGAGAGAGATAGAGATAGAGAGAGAGAGAGAGAGAGAGAGAGAGAGAGGAGAGAGAGAGAGAGAGAGAGAGAGAGAGAGAGAGAAGAGAGAGAAGAGTGCCAATACACAAATTGTTTTCTGGATGGAATGAAATGAGGAATGAGACCTCTATTTATAAGCTTGAAATTCTCCAAAAGAGGAAATAGCATTAAAGCTAAAATGACCATTGTAATCGATTAGACGAATCAATTAGCTCATTTAAAAATAACGGATATGTGTTCTAAAATAGGAAAGAAGTGATATATAGCCATTGCATAGGATCTGAGTGCATTCAAATTGCCCTTGTTCCTCAAGAGAGTGATAATCTAATCAATTATCACTAAGTTCTAATCTATTAGATTCAGTCAAAAAATATTTCCTGGCTTTTTGAATGCTCTCGTCCTTTTCTATGCAACTTCTATATACTTTTCAAGGTTTACTATTTTCAAAACAATTTTATAAAAAGATTTTAAGTGTGTGTGTATGTGTGTGCGCGCACGCTTATAGCCATATACTTCTACAAAGAAAGAACTTTTACTTTTACAAAAAGTTTCACTCACTTACTAAATTAGGAGATTAACTCCTCTAAGCCTTGTCAAATAGATTCTTTTGTGTTGAGATTTGCTCTGATATTTCTTTTGAGGCTTTTGATGTAATTGGTTTGCCTTTGTCTGAAACTTTGTCAATCCTTTATCAAACCCATGTGTAATACGATGGGAGAACTGACTTTGGGTTTTGCGTTTTATTACAAATATTATGGATAGCAAGAGTCGCCATCGACTTTTCTTTTATCCAATAAAGGAAAGGGTGAAAAGAACAGGAAAGACCTTTGAAAATTTTTCTTGAGTTTGGGGGGTAGGTTATGAAAAGGGAAGGTGTTAACACCCTTCTCATCTGTAGTTATGTAAGGGCTCTTAATTTCTAGCTCACTTTGAAATGCTTTGTGTTTGTGTATGTTTGAAAATATTTTGAAAATGCCTAAGTGCGACAATTTTGTAATGATTCTTATATCGTTGAGAATGTATACAAAATGTTTGTTTTTGAAAATATCTTTTGGATGAAAGTGTTGTTTTCGAAAGTGTGAAAAGATGTTTTGAAAATGTCAATGTAAGGCAATTTGCTTTATAATAACCCTTGTAACAGTCCTCAAGAGTGTTTATAAAATGTTTTGAAAGTAGTTATTTTGAAAGTGTGAAGTGTAAAGATTGTTTTAGTTTCTGAGCAAGCGATTACGAGCGATCTACCTATTCAAAAAGTCTTTGTTCTTTTCCTCCTCCTTTGGATAGCGTTATCCTATCATTAGTTAGTAGGGAGCTCTATTGTTGGATGTGAGGGACAAGCGTGGTTCATGGTACAGTCATAGAAAGCAACTTGTAAGATGCTTTAGCAATTTTCATAAGGGACTAAGATCATTTACCGAAGGCAGCATCGAAGGGTCATCGAGGGACTACGATCTTTTAAATGAGGGTCTTTGTTAAAGCATCTCACGTTCGAGGGACACGACTGTTTTTATTCGAGGCAACAAGTGAGGATAACCCTAGAGGTGCGTGTGTGCGAAGTGTTTTGATTTCAATTATTTTTTTCTTTGAGATTAGTTTTTCTAATGTTTGCTTTTAGTCTTGTCATACAAACCCTAATTACTAACAGTAATAAAAAAAGCAGTAAATTGCAGAAATTAAATGTTCTACGCTATTACAAGGCCTCGAGAATGGGGGGTACAAGTTTATGAATGGGGGAGGAAAGCAATAAACCCTAATTATCTATTACAAACCTTTGACAATTACATAATTGTATTACTGCGAAAATAAAGTGCGCGAAGGTGGTGAAAAGGGGAAAGATGTTTTAGGAAACCCTGAAAATATTTTTAAGTGTTAAGAAAATAATTAATTGTTTTTATTTAGAAAATATTTGAAATGTGAAATAAAAAGTTATACCTAATTCTTATTTTATTTACAATTTTAATTATTTAAAATAAAATAAAGTGTGATTAAATTAATTTATCAAAAAATGGAATTAATTAATTAAAATCTAAAGAATTCTAAGTATTTGGAAAAAAAATTGGTGTTTTATTTAGAAAAGATATTTGAAGTATAAAACCTAATTCTAATAAAATCAAAGTGATTAAATTAAATTAACTTTTATTTGTCAAAAATTAAATTAACTAATTAAAAACCTAAATCTATTTTTTTTAATGATTTTTATGATTTTTTCTTGATTAAATAAAAAAATGATTTAGAAAAAAGAAAAAGTTAATTAAAATAAAAAAGAAATCATATGGGCCTGAACTGTAAAAGCAATTGGGGTGAAAAGAAGCAAAATTCTTTGGCCCAAAACAGAGAAAACCAACGCCTATTTGTGATTCAGTGGGGCTGGTCTTAGGAGGTCCACCATGGTCCTGACTATCTGGAGCGTTGGATATGTGATCTTGAGATTTGATGGTCAAGATATGAGGTATATCATGCGCGATATTGCCTTGTTTGTACGGAATCTGTAAGAAACAAATATGAAAAAGAAAAATGTCCCACGACTGGCTCAAACCCGTGACCAGGCATAGGTATGTGTTATACCCCAAAATTTGCCCTCCCCTTTTTTACAAGAAATCACAACCCCAGGGTTTTCTCTAATTTTCGAGATTGGCTCAAGAATCGGTTAAACAGACTTTTCTTTATCAGTTAATCCAAAATTAGGTTTTTTTTCATTCGTATTTTTCAGAAAGAACTGAATCCTCAGATATTCAGTTAATTGTTACATTATTGTCATGCTTGTTCAAGATTGCTGGTTGTTTCTCAAAGAACCTAAATATCTGGGATAGGAGCTGAGGCTTTTTTTGAAACTTTGAGGCATTGGTTTGATCAGTGGAGTGAAAAGTGTATGGAACACTTGTTTGATTAACTGTACAAAGCATGGTTAATTGGAATGCCAGGCGTCTGATGATTAATGTAGGATTGCAAGACTGCAAAAGTTTATTGATTATTTATTTCATCTGGATTAAAGTTATTGGGATACATTCCCAGTTATTTTAATTTAAGAGACTTAAATAATTAAATAGACACTGCAAGAGAAAGAATGAAATATTTGACAAAGACTTTTATTTATTTATTTCAAATATTGTTACAAATGTTATTCGAATATTGTAAATTTATAATTTACAGTGTTTACAATAATATTTTTTACAATAAATGAAAAGAAAATAAATCTAAAGCCTAAATCTTGAAATCTTTGATCTTCTACTGTTTCTTCCATTTATTCAACTGGTACCTACCTGAAAAAAAGAAGAGAAAGAAAGCCAGTACAAGATTATTTTAAATGAAAAGAAGAAAAAATCATCATTAAAATTGGTCGTCTAGAATCAGATTGCCTATTTTTCATCACGCTTTATTTTTCTCTCTGCAAATCACAAGAAGATCACTCTTCTCAGTTCACAGAGAGAAAAATAAAATATAAAAGCAAGCATGTCAAACTCAATGCAAAAACATGGTTGAATCACAAAAAGTTCCAAGCTGCAAACTGAGTTACAAAATTCCAAGTTACATTAACCAAGCAAAATGTGTTACAAAGTTCAAAGAGGCAAACAGGCGCCAAAACAGCCAGGGTGAGTCAAAACAAAGGCATAAACTCAGCAGCAAATAAAGTCTCACATTCAGCTACAGTACAAAATTGCTACAAGACAAATTTGATAAAAATGGTAATGAAGCATAAAAACAGCAATACAGCAGACAAAAGGCAAGACATCAGGAAGCAGTTTATTTGACAAGTAAAAACTTGTCAAAGATGCTTTTTTCATCATTTCCTAGACAGCCCAATTTTTCAGAAATCAAAAGATAAATAAGCAATTAAAAATTCTTAAGGAGAGAGAGGAATGAGAGAACCTAGTGAATAGGTTTTGCAGTTTGCAGTTTTGGCAGGCTGTAAAGGAGAGATAAGAGGAACCAAAGAAATAATATAACAGCAGAAAAACACAAGAGAAAGGGGACAGATTTACATAACCTCCAAACTCACAAGCCTTCAAGCCCTTTTTTCTCAACACAACAGAAACCTGCAAAACTGCAAGCTTAAGCTTACCAAGCCTGCCTAAACTTACTAAGAACCTGCTTCCAACAAACAAACTGCATAAGCCTGCATAACCACAAGCAAACACAAGCCTGCCTGAAGCCTCACAAACCATTCCAAACCTGCAAAAAACTCAAACCAATACAGCCTGCTTTCAAAACC